TTTAGAAAAACATGTTCCCTTGAGAAGTAAAACTGTCACATTACACCCACAAGCTGAATGGTTTGATGCCAAGTTGCTAATAGAAAAGAGAGCAAAAAGAAAGTTGGAACGTAAGTTCCGATTATCTAATTCACCTGAAGATATTCGTCAGTTCAAAGAGCACTCAGAGTATTATAGTCACTTGCTAGTTACAACGAGACAGAAATTTTACACAGATAAGATTGAGGCAAATTATGGTGATCAGAAAGTACTATTCCAAGTGTTAGATAAACTTTTACACCGTGAGAATCAACGTCGATTTCCACCGCATGATAATCTTGATGATCTTACAAATATGTTTGCGCATTTTTTTGTCCGGAAAATTGATACAATTCGCTCTCAATTCGCTGGCTACTGTCGATAATCTGCTAGGATTTGAATCTTCCTGTGAGACCGTTGAAAAGTTGGAATATTTTAGTTCAGTTTCTGAGCATCAGATTGAAAACATTATTCGGTTAACTAACAACAAATCATGTGAACTTGATCCAATTCCAACTTGGCTCTTGAAGCAATGTATTCCTGCCTTACTCCCGATTATAACAAAAATTGTTAACCTGTCGTTGCATGATGCATTCGTGCCTACCCTGTTCAAACAAGCCTTTTTGACACAAATACTGAAGAATATTTCCCTCAGCACAGATGAAGAAAACAGTTTCAGACCAATATCTAATCTTTCTTATGTCTCAAAATTAATTGAGAAAGTGGTGGATACCCAATTAACAAATCATATTCAGGAACATAATTTAGATGAAAGCTTACAATCGGCTTATAAGAAACACCATTCTACTGAAACTGCCTGGGTTCGGCTACACAATGATATTTTATCTGAGTTGGATGACAATAAAACTGTACTGTTGGTTAGCCTTGATTTGAGTGCTGCATTTGATACCATTGATCATAGTATTTTGTTGCGTCTGCTCGAAAGTCGGTTGGGTGTCTCTGGGCAGTGTTTGAATTGGTTTCGTTCCTATCTCAGCAACCGTACAACAAGAGTTATTATTGATGGAAAACGTTCAGATATAAAACGTGTAAACTTTGGTGTCCCCCAGGGATCTGTCCTTGGCCCAAAACTTTTTACACTATACATATTGCCACTGGGAGATATTGCACGCAAACACAATGTACAGTTTCATATATATGCTGATGATTGCCAACTATACATATCCTTTAAGTATGAAAATAGATTGAAAACCATTGATAGAATGGAATCTCTGATGCATGACATAAAAACTTGGATGACAAAGAACATGGTGAAGCTCGATGATGATAAAACAAAGTTCCTGGTTTTGACAGGTCCTCGTCGAGACTGCTCTGATTTTCCTTGCTTGTCAATCGAAAACGAAAGTATTGTTAAATCAGAATCAGTAACTCTCTTAGGAGTAGAACTTGATGACAAGCTTACCTTAAAGAGTCATGTTCGTAATGTTGCGAAAAGTTGTTTTTTCAAGCTCCGCAATATGCGTAAGATTAGAAAATGTATTACTGAAGATGCAGCAAGAATAATGGTACACAGTATGATTACATCAAGGCTTGACTATTGTAATGCTACCCTATATGGGTTACCAAATTGTGACTTGGACAGGTTATATAGTGTGCAAAAGCTGGCTGCACGATTAATCACAGGAACAAGAAAGTACGACCATATTACACCGATATTGGAAAGACTCCACTGGTTACCAGTGAAAAAGAGAATGGAGTACAAAATTCTGTTACTTGTGTTTAAATGTCTCCAAGGAACTGCACCAGAGTACTTATCTAAACTGTTAAAAAAGCGTGAAAACAAAGGCACTAGAGCAGATGACAAAAACCCTTTGGTTATTCCTAGGTTTAAGAAGGTTACCCAAGGTGGACGATGTTTTGGAAGATCTGGCCCAACACTATGGAACAATTTACCAGACAACTTGAGACTTGAGACGAGTTTTAGCATTTTTAAAAGACGTTTAAAAACGCACTTTTTTTAACTTTCTTATAAGTAAATTAGGTCTAGGTCACATTTTTAAACTTTTTAAACTTTTTTACTAGTAAATTAGGTTTTGTCCATATTTTTAATGTGGTATGAATGTAAAGCGCCTTAGAGAACTGTAGATTTGGCGCTATAGAAATTCTGTGTATTATTATTATTATTATTATTACTAGTCCTTTATTTAAAAATCTCGGTCTTTTAAAGCTGTTTGATATAATAAAGATGTCCAACTTATTATTTATGCACGATTTCTATACAAATAGACTGCCTACTGTCTTTAACGATTTTTTTCTTTTTCGTTAATGATAAACACAAGTACAGTACTAGACTAGCAACAACAATTAGTTATTGTTTTCCAATTGTAAGAACAAATTACGGTAAATTTTCGGATGATCACAGGGACCCTATATTTGGAATGATATAGATGATACCTTGAAAATACTAACTAAATCAGTCTTCAAAAGTTTAAATCAAATTTATTAATGAATACTAGCTTTATCTTTATTTTTATTTCTGTTTTCATTTGCTTTCAAATTAACTAAAGTCAAATTTATAATTAATGATTACTGGCTTTATGCTTTTGCATGTGTCTATAAATTTTAATTTGCATCTGTATAATCATTGTGCACCATGACCTTAAACCAATGTTGACCCACAGTGGCTCGAATACTTTAATAAGGTTATCTGATTTCGATTAGTTTTAAAGCTATTTCAGATATCCTGTGCCAACTCTGTTTTAATAATGTGTGGAAAAAATTTGTAATTATGTATTTTTGACTGGTGCAAATAAAATTCTTTTTCTTCTTCTTCATAAGTCAGTTTTTTCCAAGATGCCAATCAGCAAAAGCAGTTTCAAAGCCAGCCAAACGTTTGTACTCTCTTTCTGCAAGGCTATTTGCTAATTGTGCATTCCTGCATGTCCCTTTCCTCTGTCAGCTGGTCACCATCTAGGAAGGTCTTCTGTAACACATACTTCTGATTGTTAACTTCTGCACTTGGAACAAATTTGTTTTGAATGTTATTGAGGATCTCAGCCATTTCAGTTGCATGGTTTGAGTTCAGGAATTCAAGACCCAAAGAACACTATTTAAAAATAAATGAGGTTTGCAACAATACTGAAGATGTATAAATAACACATTGACAACAACAGTAGCTTGTCAATCATGCACGAAAATCAATTAAGTACATACCACTTCGGCTTCTTTTTCATTTCATCTGAATGATTATGACTGATATGCCAAGTAACTGCATTGGTGAAAGATTCATATGCTGGTAAGTACTGCACAATAATTCTTGGAATAAGGAGTATCAGATCATTTAACAAAGCTAAGTGGACTTCTGCAATTGGAAGAAATTCATTCATCCCCGACCCGACGGCGCGGGTACTAATTCCCCCCGGCTATTTACACCCGGGGAAACGAAAGCACTAGCGAAGTCTAAAGTTCATCAAATATCGCGGGCGTGGGTCACCAACCGTGGGTGGTCATCCCTCACTGGTCTCAGAAATATGGCGGACTGTCATGAATAGCGAACACTGTGATTGGTCCAATTTAAAGTTTACATTATAACGACTGCATGACGACAGCGAAATAGCAAACATTTCTTCATTTGATAAATTTCTTGCAAATATATTTCATTTTTGCTCGCATTTTTGCACGTTTTGTAAGAAATGGCGAAATAATCAGCTAAAAGAATGGAGCAAACGTTAACGAAGGTAAGTTTGTTTTAAATATTGTTTTATAATTGCTTTGTTAAAACCCGGCGGCCTTAATAATTGCGTATATAAAACAACTAAACAAGAAAGCATATCGGGCCCCATTTCGGTGTATCCTTAATTCTGATTCCCTTTTTTTATTATATTGAATTTTTTTAAATTAAATAAAAAAGAAAGCAAAGTTATTTGCATGCTAGAATTTGAAATCATTTTATTGCAAACTTAAAGTTTATCGATAAAGCCATTTAATTAAAGAATAAAGGCAGTTTAGTTTTATAAAGAACACTTTAAAACGTTTTGCGAAGCGTTTGTGGTTGAATTTTACCTTAAATTGAAGCTTATATCACGTATAATATCATACCTAACATATATATGGTGGGAAATTGACAATTTAGTAATTAAAAGTGATATTTTTAAGCGATTTTTCATTTGTACGAATATTTCTAAAAATTATCGTGTTATCATGGCAACTCCTTTAGATACTTCATGTTCGGAAAATACAATGGCTTTGTCATGCATGTATTTTCTAGTAATACACATAAGAACGTACGGATTTGGGGATTTCCCGTTTAATTTGCTAATTATTCAGTAGCTAGTGGTTTCATGCATTTTACTGTCGAACGCCTGGAAATTAGAACGAGCGAATAGAGGACATTTAAATTAGGATTTTCCTTTATGATCCCTAGTTACATAGAAAGAACCTTTATACTGTTAATGGGCTGGATTTAAAATTACTGTCGCGTTTTTCATACGCGCGTGTCAGGGAAAAGTTTAAATCCAGTTGTGATTACCTCAACGAATACAGTTTAACGCGACAGTCGAAATCCAAAGCTGGATAAGGTGGATATATACGTGGATAAGGATTGGATATATACGTATAAATATGGTGTTTACTGTAATGTACTCATCGTTACCGCACCTGTAATATGGAAGGCTTTCTTGTCGCAATGATTCCAAAGCATGATATGCAGTATATCACTATCCTCATGAATATTGTCGAATTTGCCTGAACGTAGGATGTTTTTGCATAACTCAAATTTATTTGTATCGAAATACTGGTACTTTGCTACAGTTTCCCTCGAAAAGTCGATTGAGCATATTTCCATGGTATCTTGGATTTGGGATGATTGAGTTTGTGATTTCAAAACTCCATCCATCAGATTAGCTTTATTTCGATTGACTTCTATTTCAGTCTTCCAAGACAAGATTTCGTCGGCAGATAGGTTTGCAGCAGACTGAAGTTGTGCACGAATCGTATTGGGGTGACTGGCGAGACCAAGTCTGTGAAACAAGTCCATGATTTCAGTTTTGCAACACCCTTTGCTAAGAAGCAGGTTAAGTCGATAAACGAAATTAGTTCGCCTGAGCCACGTATTCAGTAGGGCTGATCATGAGAATGCTAGAATTTGTTTGTTTTCTAGAAATTTAACTCTTGCATGATTGTTACTAGTTGCTGTGACTATAGCATGTGTAACAGGTAATCTCTCCTTCATTTCAAGTAACATGTCATCGCTCTTAAAATCCTTCAAGCTTAACGGATTACCATTATATTTTTGCCAACGGGTTTGCCTTTGCTATAGCTGCGCATTTCTCTCTTTACTTTATCAGTTACGGCTTTAACGATTGCTTGACGAAATGGTGGAAATTTCAAGGCAGAATTTGCTGCGGCTTTGTAATCTTCCAGACAAATTTGTTTTATCATTGCCCCTTCAAGTCTATCCTCGAAACTGCGCTCTTTCACTCGACATGAAGATGGATAATAAATAACGAAACGGTTAATAATCGGCGTTGAATCCGGCAAGAAACAGTAGCATATCAAGACTGTAAACTTCAATTCTCGTAAATTCGACTTTTCACAATACTTTTATTCAGCACTGACGACTGCAATAGTCAGCACTAGATTCGCTAAAAATATGTTACATTATTAGTTAGTTTACTCAAAAATTAGTGTGTGTAAAGATACTTAACGATCCTAGAAACAGGATTACTTACAAGTTATTGTGACGTTATTTGCTCCTTTATAATCAACAATACAAATATATAACACACTGATAATACCAAAACTCGATAAAGATAAAAACTCGTCACAATGTTTTCGCGCGCTTTTCTCCTGCGCCCGCAAGCAATGTACTTCATGTAACAGTTCGTACACGCTCCCCCCCGAAAGACGACGGAGGAGTCTTTCAATCTTAATATAAACAATCTAAATGAAATAGTTACTTAATGATACTACTAGTTACTATGCAACAACTGGTCACTTATCCGTTCACTCATCAATATGTTCCTGATCTTCCATGCATTTCATCAGCTTCTCTTCTAGGAGGCATAGCTTTCTCACGTCTCTTCGGTAGACGCCATCTGCTGTTCGGATTACCACTCGACGTACAACTCCTTCAGTGTCGGGAAACACTTGCTCGACCAATCCTTTCGGCCATTGACCACGAGGAACATCCTTGTCGACCATAAGTACCAAATCTCCAACACTGAAATTGGGCATCTTCTTCAACCATTTTTGAGTTTCCTGTAAAGTGGGCAAATATTCATTTTTCCATCTTTCCCAGAACGTATCTGCTAACATCTGAACGTGTTTCCATCTTGCCTTGAACTTGTCCAATCCGTTAAACTCACCGGCTGACGTTGAAGGGTTCTGACGTAGAAGGAGTATATGATTAGGGGTAAGTGCTTCTAAATCGTGTGGGTCACTTGAGACTGGCGTAATTGGTCGGTCGTTCATTATTTTCTCGACTTCTACCATGAGTGCACGTAAACTTTCGTCATTTAGTTCGCGTTGTCCGACCAACGAGCGCAAAATCTTCTTAGTTGAACGTATTAAGCGTTCCCAAACGCCTCCTTGATGACTAGCTAACGGGGGATTGAACACCCATTCAACACTTCTGCGCGATAGCGAACCTTGGATCCTTTCCACGTCCCATGACTTCAAAGCTTCGATCACGTCAGCTTCTGATCCTTTGAAATTGGTGCCGTTGTCGCTGTAGATGATGCGAGGTGCACCTCTTCGACCAACAAAGCGTAGGACGGCGTTGATGAAATTATCGGTCGATAAGTCTTCTGCTACTTCGATGTGTACTGCTCGGTATCGTAAACATGTGAAGATACATCCAAAGCGCTTTCCTAATGTCTCATTCTTCTTCGATCTCGTTTTAGGGTCAAGCTTGACGTACAGAGGTCCAAAGTAATCTACGCCTACTGCCGCGAATGGGTACGCGATTCCATCGTTATCTGACGATACTCTCACGCTTGGCAGCGGTGCCATTGTTACTCCGAGTTCTTTTTGTTTTACATTTATTTCACTTTTAAAGGAGTATTTTAATAAAACTTTTACCAAACATGTGTTCGTTGTCTTATCGTTTTAAAAAGCGCTAGACTATATTACTGAGCCCGTTTCTACAACATAACCGCTGACTAAGCGCTAGACTATCTCGCTGAGCCCGTTTCTATAACATAACCGCTGACTAAGTTCCAGTCTTTAAAGCTGTTTCTTAATTGTTTTCTCACACGGCTACACTCTCCCCTCCTTCTTGAATGTCGTCTCTGACATTTTAGATCCGTATCTTCTTAACACAACTGTTCCAAGTTATAAATATCCTTAACAATTCAGACACTCGAGTTGGTTGATCAGGCCAGCTCACTAACCGAAACGTAATCTCTCTCTTCAAGACACTATAGATCCTAAATACGTAAGTTACCTTACTTTAGCTAATTTGTATCAAGTACAACGAAATCCTAAGTGAAGCAAATGTGTTTTTTTTTTAAATTATAAATATGAACGTTTAATATGTTTACTTGTTCCTCTTTGTCTTCTGATACGTTGGGTAGTGACCAAAAGGCGGTGGTGATATCATAGGGTTCATAACTTGTGCGTGGAACATGGGATTCTGTATTGGACTCATCCACGGTACTGATATCATCGGAGGTTGTATCGGTCCAATCTAAGGTGGGTCAAACCACGGATCTTGTATTTGAACTAATCGCACGTTAGGTTCTTGCCAAATGAAAGGAAATTCTCCCGTAGGACAACCAGGTGCATTGTACCCAAAACGTAACGGTGGCTGTCTTTGCCTTTGTGGACGAACCGGTTGCGGCGGTGTTTCTTCGATATCACCCGGCGTTTCCATCGTTTCTTCTACTTGAATGTTCAGCCTGTTCGCGTCATTTTCATTACCATGTACTTCCCTACTCTGGTTAATCTCGTCATTTGTATTTGGGTCCACTGTCGCGTCGTTTGCCGACTCTGGTCGTAAGCTTAACTGTACAAGTTCGTCCATTTCGTTTGGAGGCAGCGAAAGTCCCTCCTCCCCCTCCTCCCCCTCATCATCTACATTTTCCTTTAATTTCACCTCGATTGGTGTAACAGAACGAATAAGTTCAAGGCTTCCCAAAACAGTCCGTCCAGGTAGTACGATATCATGCATTGTATCGTTTGTCACTTGCACTTGCATGATTGTGGATTTTCCCTTTTTCACAGATGTTAAGGTTTCATGAACTATTAATCCGGGGGGCCACTGTTGTTTTTCATCAGGTTCAAAAAGCACTGGTCTCGTATTCTCAATCGTTCCCGTATTTGCTCGACAGGGTACTGTTTTGGTAGCTTTCTTCGGTATTGTAATGTGACGTTTGGATGTTTTTACTTGGCAAAACAACTCCCCATAATTTCTTTGGATAATATTTATCAATTGCTCAGCATCTTTCACTCCAACATTATTAAAACTTGACACTATATGGTGTGCCACTGATAAATTATCTGAGTAGTTTTCACCTTCTTGCAAAAACAGTTCAATAACATTGTACCCAATTATTGGTTGTTCCAACTGTTCGGGTGTTACTAAGAATGGTACTGTTACTTCTTTTTCATCTTCTCGGTTTAATCTCCTCCTCCCCCTCCGAATCGGATTCTGAATCCTCTGAGGTGTGTATAATCGGGGTCTGTTCTTTCACTTTCTCTACCCGCTTCGTCTCTGGCGTTGCTGTCGGTAAATAATCACAAGGTAACAATAAATTTCTGTGCAACGTGCGTATCTTTCCCTTTCCTGATTCGGGTTTGATATCATAAACAGGACTCTCGGGATTCTTCCTCGATACCACTACGTGAATCTCCTCTTCCCAGAACGCTCGTATTTTGCCTGGACCTCCGCGTGGTGATAGGTTCCGAACAAGCACTCGGTCACCAGGTAAGAGGACAGTCGACCTTACGCGTTTATCGCTCTGTTTCCTTCCCTTAGACGCCGCTTTCTCCGCAGACTTGGATGCTAACATGTAAGCTTCCTGCATTGCTTTCTTCCATTTATTGGCATAAGCTGGATAACCGATTGATTCTTCTTTTCTTGTTAAGTTAAACATCAAATCAATGGGAAGACGAGGCGGTCTACCAAATAGTAGCAAGAACGGGGAGAAGCCAGTAGATTCATGCTTCGTACAATTATACGCGTGTATTAGTTTGTTCACATGATCCTTCCAATTAGACTTGTACACTTCGGGTAACGTTCGCAACATGTGTAGTAAAGTCCTGTTCATCCGCTCCACCTGGCCATTTCCCTGTGGATGATAGGGTGTCGTTCTTAAATGTGCGATTCCCGAGAGCTGCTCTAGTCTACGAAACAGTTTATTTTCAAACTCTCCTCCCTGGTCGTGATGTATTCTAGACGGGAAGCCGAAGCGCGGAATGAAATCATTGTAAATTTTATCGGCTGCCGTGGCCGCGGTCTTGTTCCGTGTTGAATACGCTTGTGTATATCTGGTAAAGTGGTCGACTATGACCAGTATATACTCGAACCCTCCAGAACTTCGCTCTAAATGGACAAAATCAATTGATACCAGTTCGAATGGTGCGGACGTAGAAATGGAGTGAAGTGGTTCTCTGTTGGTAAAGGTGGGTTTTCTCTGTTTAACACAACTACATACGTGCGTGATAAAATGTTCAATATCGTTCTTCATTCCAGGCCAATAGAACCGTTCCCTTGCAAGGTTGAAAACGCGTTCTGGACCAAGATGTCCCATTTTCTCGTGTAGTTCTCGAAATACTAACGATCTATACTTCGTTGGTAGTACAAGTTGCTGGCCTCGATACAAAATACCGGTCTTCCTGTCGATCATGAGATTATGCCACTCCCAGAGGTATTTTTTTAGTTCAGGGGTTTCTTGTTGCCTTTCTTCGAGAGTTGGTTTCTTTCGCGCCCGTACATACCACTGAACCCGACTTGTCGTTGGGTCTTCTCGTTGCGCTCTAGCGATCTCTGTCTGTTTGAACTGGATGGTGTTTTCTCGCTCTGGCAAGAATAGCTTGTCTGTCTCGAGGGCCTCCGGCTGATCCGTAACTGATGTAATCCAGGGGGAATCACCATTGCTGACGGAAGAAATCTGAGAGACTGCTGCGTTGAACTCCGGATTTGAAACCATTTCAGAACAAGAGTCCATGAATCTTTCGAAGTCCGCAGGAATTCTGGACAGGCTATCCGCGTCGATGTTTACTTTTCCCAGTCTATATTTGATCTCAAAATTAAAGTCTGCAAGTTGGGTTATTATCAGTATAGACTACGAAGGATGCATGGTGCATAATATAAATAATCCCTGAATTGTTCGCTGACCGCCCACTTTAGAGCAAGAAACTCTAATTTCCCCGTATGTAAATGGTAGTTCTTCTCAGCTTGCGTTAATGTGCGTGATGCATATGCGATGACACGCATTACTTCTTTTTCATCTTCTCGGTTTAATCTAAATCTAGCTTCCACCCAGCCTTTATAAGGGATTGATGTCCCATTTGCCGCAGTTAAATTCAGACCAGAACCCGCACCAAGCAATTCTCTAATATCACTTATTTTCAAATCAGAAAAATTGTCAGACAGTACCTGTTCCAGGAAAATGGACACCTGGGCTCCAGTGTCCCATAACGCTTCCATATCAACATCATTTACGAGACACCAAACAGAGCATTTGCGACCAACAAGTTTAGCAATTGCAGCATGTTTCTTTGGAGAAAGGTGACTTGCAAACATTTCTGTGTCTGAACTATCTCCCAGTCCTCTGAGAGTTTCATTGTTTTGATTTAGTTGTTCCTTAATGGCATTGCAAAGTATTTGGTGTTCACTCCAATGTCTTTTTTGACATGATTTTGAGCAACAATACACCAGTTTGCAGGTAGAACAACGTTTAAATTTAGCGTGAACTTCCTCTCGGTTACCACCATTGCATCGGTGGGACTTATTCTGGTTTGACGCGGCTACTCCTAGTCCCTCAGGGGTAGCCTCCTCTCGTTTCCCGACCTGCAATATCGAGCAGTGTGGTTTCTTCCTCCACATTTGAAACAATGAGGACAATTAACTTGATTCTCTTCGTGGCATTTTTTACACAATGGAGGGTAATCACCTTGACGGCCATCATTTCTTCGATTTTGACCAACACAACCCGTCATGAAGGTACTAGAAGGGGGGTGTCCTTGAGGGGAATCTTTCTGGTCTACTTTCGTCCGCAAGCTAGCTACCTCGGATTGAACTGTATTCAATTCTGCCTGGATCGCTTTTAATGTGGCCAGTATCTCACTATCATGTGCATTTGGTGACTCTGCAGGTCTTGGTGGCACTCCGGTTTCTATCTTTGAGACTTTTGGTGAGGACTTTACTCGGCCCACCTGGTTGAACTTCGTGGCTCTTTCTGATTCAGCAGCCATCGCAGAGCTCATTGCTTCAATTAGCTCTTCATCAGCCACTTAAGGAGTGGCCTCATTTTTTCCCGAATGGTTTCATCGGCAAGGCCAGTTTCTAGGGCATTCAAGAATAGGCCTTGGACAAGCCCTTCATCATATTTGATCTTTGTATCCGATTCTTTTGATGCAAACACTATTTTTTGCCTAATCGTCAGGGCACGAATTAAAAATTCTTGTGGACTTTCTTTTGGGGCTTGACTGATATTAGCCAAGAGCTGGTAGAGCTCGGTAGCACTTTTCTCTTGGAAATGAAAGCGTAGTATTTTACGTAATCGTGGTAATGTCAACCCATTTATTCCCTCCAAATAACTTCGTAGTTGTAACCCAGCCTGAACAGCTCTAACCACAGCATGGGTAATTTCCTCTTCTGTGTAACCCTTTTGCAACCCAATTTCAATCTGTGAAATGAGTGACTGATATGCTAGTTTATCTTTATGCCCTGGCTCTCCGATTTGTCCTTGTATCTTGAATTCCCGACGGAGCATGCTTGTTTTCATGTTAAGAAATGCACTTTGTGGCTTATCTTGTTGTGTTACTGATTCACTAGTTATAGTTATGTCCTCAGTTGTTTCATTTTAGGTTTGGACAGTATTTATTTGATCTTTGAGTTTTTCCTGCTCTACTAGTAACTTTTCATACTGTGTTTTGAGCTGTTTCAGTTCCTGTTCACTCTTTTCTTTTGCTTTCAGGCTTTCCTCATTTTGACTCATTGTTTTGCTGTCTAAAATAGTTTGTATTTTTCCCAATAGACTGTCAAGCTGCTCGCTATTACATTTAAGTACTTCTTCTTCAAATACTGTACGTATAATTTTAATCAGTTCCAACCTACCCTTTTCTCCGATTTCTTCTACCTTTATCCATTTCATTTCTTCTCCAAATCGGGCTAATTCCATTCGTTTTAAGCCCAACATACGAGACTGAAGCTCTATAATCAAATCTTCTGACATTTTTCAACAGTAAATCGTCCAACTTCCCGTTGTAGAACTTGTATTAAACTTTTATATACATATATATCCAATATCCACAATTTGTCAATAACTCACGTATATAAAGTATCATAAATCTCGCAAATCTCGTGTATTTTCTCGCCCAAACATCGATTTTTCTACATATTACCTTCCATTGTCTCGGTGGGACCTCCAAATGTTACTCCGAGTTCTTTTTGTTTTACATTTTATTCACTTTTAAAGGAGTATTGCTAATAAAACTTTTACAAAACATGTGTTCGTTGTCTTATCGTTTTTAAAAAGCGCTAGACTATATTACTGAGCCCGTTTCTACAACATAACCGCTGACTAAGCGCTAGACTATCTCGCTGAGCCCGTTTCTATAATATAACCGCTGACTAAGTTCCAGTCTTTAAAGCTGTTTCTTAATTGTTTTCTCACACGGCTACAATTGCAATCAACTTAGAAACTCATAAGAGGAACGCTTCACGTAGTTTACCTGTAAAAATCCAAAAAAATCCCTTCTACGCCCCTGTTTTTACTTCAGGTGTCCTTCTATAGTAACATTCAACCAATCAGTTATAGGTGGCCCTTGCTGTACCCCAAGGGAGAACAGCTAAGAAATTGTACAGTATAAACAAAGTTAGTTTAGTTTCAACTTCGTCCTGTAGTGACTGCGAAGCAGTAAGAAATGTCCCTTTGTGGATTTCTTGAGAGAGAAGTCTAGAACTGATAGAGCTATCCAGTATAAATCAAATTAGTGCAGTCTTAGTTATATGTAATCTGTTTCTCGTTTTATCTCTTCTTTATAGACTCGAATTCATCCGCTCATTCCGTATGCTATCTTTGCGACCTTGGCGTTTTTGGCAAGTTGCGCATGCTTGCTGCTACCAGAGACCACTGGCCAGCCGACCCAAGAAGTCATATCGGAGGCTCAAGCTGCCTTTCAACAACTTGAGCTAAGTGATACTACCGACAAATCCGTTTTTGTCGAAAACAAAAATCTTGTTTAAATGCAATGTAGGCGAGCAATTTTGTCCTTGTCATTCAAGATTTCCTTGACATTTTTTGACAGGTTTTCCTAAAGGAGAACTTGCTCGTCTATACGTCTGTTCGTAATTTTAGTACCAAAATATAGTCATGAAATAACCTAATTAATTTTTACTATAATGGGAACAAATCATATTTGATATTTTTAATGGACCAATCCCCAATTAACCAAAATTTTGAACTAAACAAGTCTATAGACAAAAATTTCATCACAGCTTGAAAGAGCATCACAAAATTAGTAATATTGCAAAATGTTGTAAAATGCGGATGATGTAGCCTTGCGAAGTTTGCAATTTTCAGTCATTTTAGATTACAAACGGGAAATGGTTACCACTTCTGTGCGTAATACAAAATGACTGAAAATTACAAACTTCGCAAGGCTATATTATCCGCATTTTATAACATTTTGCAACGGAATTTTGGAATATTACTAATTTTGTGATGCTCTTTCAAGTTGTGATGAAATTTTTGTTTAGGCTAGTTAAGATCAAAATTTGGGAAAAGTGGTAACCATTTCCCGTTTGTAATCTAAAATGACTGAAAATTGCAAATTTCGCAAGGCTATATATTATCCGCAATTTACAACATTTCGCAACGAAACTTTGGAATATTACTAATTTTGTGATGCTCTTTCATGCATTTCTAGACTTGTTGAGATCAAAATTTTGGTTAATTGGGGAATGGTCCATTGATACTTGTTTTAACTATACGCCACTAAAACTGCAATAAATCGATATTTTCAAAGTGATATTATTTCGGTCGCTGTACCTAAATATCGCAACTATATTCATCCGGGGAACGAGATTTTAACCAATCAAATAGCGTAAATTGGCCTCCATAGCTTCAATTTATCCCTCGACTTTTCCCGCAATGTCCACTCTCAGTGTTGCCGGTCAACTTTGGGATTTTATCCCAAGATTTTGGGATTTTTTAATTAAAGTGTTGGGATTTTGTTTGTATTATATTTTCAGAAATAAGGCTGTGGGATTTTTCTTGGGATTTTTCTAATCAAAGATATATTGAAAAAAAGTCTTTTTGGCCGAGAAATAGTTGTGAATTAGCACATCCAATTAATAATATTTTCATTTTGGCTTAGTTTTCTTTAGTTTTCTTTAGTTTTTTTTTAGTTTTTTCGTTTCTTTCTTCATGATCTTGCCATTTTTTAAACAGAATGACTTGTAAAATAATCTTGTAAAGAAGCTTTTAAAAAATGCTGTTTAAAGATGGCCGCCGAAGATGATGTTGAGAATTTGTGTTGAATATACAGGCAAATACTTGGTGTAACATTCAATAAAAGAGTAACAAAACAAAGTACAGATAGGGAGGGGAGGCCAGGGATTTATTCTGAGTAAAATATGCAAATTTAAATTAACCAATGGGATGGATTTTCCAAGAGAATCTCGTTGCTATGGTGGTTGCTAAGGACCAAAACTATAAACAATGATATACTTTTCAATATTTTCCCGTTTTCTTCGCGCAAATAAAAAAAAATAACGCCGGGAAATGAAAAAGCAATGATCAATAATGTATAATATGGTTGTTTCGAAATTTTGACTTTTTCACAAAAATATTGTCCCAGACCACCTTAAAACTGCCGCCAGCTGCTAAAACGATCCCTGGGTACGAAATTAACTTGCGACAGTGTTACCACTGGTGGTAGTCAATTTATTCCGGGCGTTCTGTGACCCCCGTCCGCGATCATATCAGACCATGTCAGCGGCATCTAGTAAATTACTTAAATAACATCACCAGAAGTTCGAAGGTTTTACTCAAAATTCCAAAGGAATTTTACAACTTTAGAAAGTGGGAATATTTCCAGATACATGGGCCATCATTCCAATACCGTATTTACCATCAAAGAACAAATATGACTGGTTTATACTATAGTTTATTTTGTCTAAAAATACATTCCCATGTACATGCAAATACATGCAAATTAATACATCCTCCGAGAAAATTCACAAACTAACCTCTCTGAAATTTGAGGTCCTTCACGTGGCTAGAAAAAACAATAAATGCCGATACCATCACAATATTTTATACTAAATGTGAGCGGATCGTTTTATTTATATATGTGACCACTATATATTTAGATTTTCTGCATCTGCATTTCAGTGAGCGCTGGTGGCGCGTTCGTCCAGGGCGTTGCGTGCGATCTAACGTACTGCGGTTCGATCCCGCAATTGCCAATGTTTTGTTTTTAATTTCGTTGTCATATTTTTTTCTTTAAAAGATTTTTCCTAAGATACAATTCCTTTCGGTTAGATTAGGGTTAGAGTTAGAGTCATGTTTATTTTTTACTGTGACTATGCTGTGTATTATATTCAAGTAAAATAATATCTTTAATTAATAATTCGCGCGCGAATTCGAATTGTGTTAATGAATGCTAAATGCTAAGCCGCTGACATGATTTGATATGATCGCGGAGACGCGGACGGGGGTATCCCCGTCTTTTGTGTATCCCCTACTAATATCACTAGGGATATGTGTATCCCCAGCTCATCTCACTAGGGGTATGTGTATCCCCAGCAATATGGCGGTCGTGTTCTGCGTATCCCAAAAGAACCACCCTACATTCCCACATCACTAGGGATACAAGTATCCCTAACATTTCGCGGGAAACAAAATTGGCGGGAAACTTCATTTATTCACAATGGATGCAATTAAATATGGTAATCTACTGGGATAGGTGAAAAACCAAGCGGTGTATCCGTCGAATTTTACAAAGCAAGAAAAAGCGATATTGCGCAGATTTGCGAAAAAATTTGAAGTTGAAGTTCTTTATTTATTTAATCGCTTCTATAGTGTTGTAGGTATCCCCACCGGGGGTACTTTTATCCCTAGGGATATTAGTGTGGGGATACTAAGGCCTATTAAAATAATATTTCTGTTTTCCATCATTTGTTTGGAATAGAATTGGGGCGGGCGGAATTTTTTTTTTCTTTTTATACTCATTTATTTTTTTCTTTTTATCTACATTGTTCAGAGTATAGCATTATCTGCCACTCTTGCGCCTATCCAGGGCTTCAAAACCTGCGCACCAGATCTAATTTGCGTAACAATAAACGGCATGCTTGTCTCATGAACATTGAACCATTATGAAAATATCAAAAAGGACAGCGCATCATGGCGCCCACTGCTAGGTATCCGATTATTTTCCGACGGCTCCTGACAAAAACCGAGAACAATATTTTAAAAAAATTTTCGGGCGGCCAAATTTTCAGGGGCGGGCGGCGATGAAAAACAGAAATATTTTTTTAATAGGCCTAAAGCCACGGGGATGTTCGTATCACTGTGACACCGGGATAAATTGACTACCCACGAGACCATTACAAACATATGGAAACAAGCATAAAAATCATCACGACAAACACTTCACGACACGTTGGCGACAGTTTCGACGATATGGAAACCAGGCTTCACGACAGTTACAACACGTTGGCGACAGTTACGATCATATGGAAACCAGGCCTAATGCAATAGTGTAAACAATTAGAAATTGAAATAGATACCAAGTTATGTTGGCTTGTTGTGATATAGAATTACACAGATTGGCTGTTGTCGTGCGCTTAGCTCGTTTGAAAACCCGAATTATATTTCCTCAACCAAGCCCAAGGCGAACAACTGAACAAAAATGGCAAAAACAATTACCGTGGACGAAGCACTGGCAGAACTCGGAGGATTCGGGTTATTTCAATGGCTTATTTATCTCGGTGCGAGCATTGCCGAAATGGCTGTGACTTATCAAATATTTTTGTTGACGTTTATAACCGCCGAGCCCAAGTGGCTTTGCAGGAACGAGAGTTTGATATGTAATTTCAGCGAGCCTATGGGTCTGACAGACGATGATTACGAGGCGAGATGTGATATGCCCAGATCGGAGTGGAAATTTGCGGATGATTTTACGTCTATTGTTACTGAGGTTGGTTCAGATCAGTATGTTGCAATTTATTGATGGATTCAGATTACGTTTACACCAGCCCGGACGAATTTGGACCGCATGTACGCAAATTTGTCCGATTCGTGACTTGTGCGAAATATCTGACATGCGTGACCAGTCATTTATTTCGCACGTAAAGGCACGAAATATTAATAGAGAGGTCAAGATCACTGATGGGTCAAGATACCCCGGTTTACGAGTACGAGTATCGCCATTTTTGTTTACCAATTTTTGCTGATGTCAGCATTTTTTCCGTAATTGCTACCCGTTTCCCCGCGGTAAACCATGCTCTACACGTAAAAGACAAACGTTACGGGTTTACTATTTGTGGGCTGTTTAAGGTTACAGAACACCTTTGAGTGTTAATTTTGCCTAAAAGTTTTTTATTGGTTTCCATGAAAGCATTAGACTATTTCCACTATCTGACCAAGTTTGAACGAAAAATGTTGAAAACTCGCAGAGTTATTTAACAAAATACATTTCGCTGCAATAAGAAAAACATTGAAAATATAATATTCAAATTCAATTTTCTCCCGAAGAATTTTACGGCAATTACTGATTTTTAAACGAGTTGTGCTCCTGCGGGTTTTGACCAATTTTTCTCACATTTTCACAGGACATAGCTAAAGACGTCAGTTTCAAAATTGTGTTCGGCTTTTTTTTAATTTTGGATATTTTAATAATAAAGAGCAATTCACTCAAACAATTCAGAAATATATTGCAGTCGTCAAAGAAATCGCCATATCAGCGGAATGACGAAATAAACAAAAATTTCCGAACACAATTTTTTAGAACAACTATTTTACTGTATAAAAATGATATTTTCATAAATAGAACTTAAAACCAGCAGGAGCACAACTCAAAAGCGTAACGGTACCGCGATTTACGACTTTCCTGAATAATTCTTACATTACTTTATTGTTTGTTAATTTTACAACTTTACCATATTTTGCATGCACTGGCGAACATTTGGTGAAAATTTGATTAAAATCGGACTGATATTGAGCGCGCAGTAGCGGTTTTCCGCAAAACGCCAAAAAGGGTGTCCTGTAACCTTAAATAGTAAAAATCTCAGCATGAGCTCCACCTTTGAATTTACTACATGAGTAAATTGTTAATTAAACACGTCCGAATTTATCATGATACATTCGCGGCACCTAACCCCTAACACTAACGCTAACCCTAATCTAACTTTTTTTTTAACTTTCATGCAGTTTGAAAATCTAACCTTTTTAAACTTTTTTTGAAGATACAAGTTATTCCCCGATTTACGGGTACGGGTAGATAGAAGATAGAAACTTTATTTATACACGCTGACCCCGTCAACCGAAGCTGATTTCCACGGGGGGCGTGTGCAAAAATAGAAAAATGTTACATGGAGATATTAAAATACTTAAGTTTAAAAAGGTAGAATATTAAATTATTTACATGATAAGAAGGTTATTAGAATATTTACAGTTACATCAATTTACTCTATGTCAATTTTGTGAGCAGCGATTTTGTTTCTAAAGGATGAAAGAGTTTTGCTTTCCCTAATTTCCTTTGGAATAGAATTCCAAAGGTGTGCTCCGTCATACATGAAACTATTTTTCATGTTGTTAGTACGCGGTTTTGGTAAACTAAGACTTCTTGAAATGTCACGAAGGTTGTAGTTTGTTTTCTCAAATTTGTATGAAAAAAGATTGGTGAGTGATTTAGGACCCATTTTATTTAATACTTTGTACATCATTTTTGCCTTAGCTTTCTTCCTTTCAGTTTTGAGTGGCTCCCAGCCCAATGCACGTAGAGCAATGGAATGATTTACGTCATTACTCATGTTCGAGATAATTCTAGCAGCTCTATTTTGAAGTTTTTGGAGTCGTTTTGATTGTGATTCACCAAACACATCCCATACTTCACAACAGTAATCAAAGTATGGGCGGACAATAGCATTATATATCGAATTGAGTGTATTTTTGTCAACGAAAGGTTTGACTCGGCGAATAGCAGAGATTCCTGCAGTTATTTTTTTGCATATATTTTCGGAATTACTTTTCCAAGACAAATGCTGGTCAACTATTACTCCAAGAGTTTTGCATTCGCTAACTTGTTTAATTTGCTTATTTTCAATGAAAACATTTAAATGTGAATCAGAATTTTTTTTAATCATTGCGTTTGAACCAATTAACATAAATTCTGTCTTAGCTACATTTAGACTAAGTTTATTGGCAATTAACCATTTTCTGAGGTTTTCCAAATCAGAATTCACTGCAGTTTCAAGGTCAATTATAGAATCTCCCGATGCTGTCAGATTTGTGTCGTCAGCAAACAATCGAGGTTTTGTTTTGTTTAGACACTGAGGTAAATCATTTATATATAACAAAAAGAATAGTGGTCCTAAGATAGAGCCTTGTGGTACACCACACTTAATCAATCGCTCTGTAGAAAAGGAATTCTTAATTTGGCACTTCTGGTTTCTGTTTGTGAGATAAGATTTGAGCAAAGTTAGAGCTTCTCCTTTTATTCCATAAAGTTCTAACTTCCTCAATAGAATTTGATGATCAACAGTATCAAATGCTTTTTTTAGATCAATTAGGACTACTAGGTTAAACATTTTTCTGTCTAGATTCATATGCCAATCATTGGTACAGTCCAGTAATGCAGTTGCTGTAGAATGAGATTTTCGAAAACCGAATTGAGAATCACTAAGGAGTTCAAATTTTGTTAAATAGTTATACAGTTGATCATACATAATTCGCTCCATAATTTTGCTAATCGCAGGTAAAACTGATATTGGTCTATAGTTTCCTGGAATATTCCGTTGGCCATTTTTATACAAAGGTATTACTCTTGCCATTTTCCATTCATTAGGAAAGGAGGATAGAATTATAGCCTGATTGAAAATAAACGTCAATGAGTCTGAAATAGCTGGTGCAGCTATCTTAATAATTTTACAAGAAATTTTATCAATGCCAGTGGCTTTATTGCTGGAAAGCCCATGCAAGAGACGACAGACATGACTGACAGTAACAGGCTGGAATGCTGCAAATTCTGATTCAGCAGTTTTAGTATATGTTTCAAAATTATAATTTGAAGTATCAATTTTGCTAGCTAAATCAGGCCCAATATTTGAAAAGTAATCATTAAAGCCCTCTGCAATATCTTTGGGAGTTGTAAAAATTTTTCCCACTAGATTAATCTCATTCACCACTGTTGGTTTGTTTTGCCTACCTAATAAGTTGTTTATACTTTTCCAAGCTTTTTTAGGATTGAATTTTTGACCAGCTATTTTTGAGGAATAGTAATCTTTTTTGGCATTCCTTAGTTCTATGTTTACTTTGTTTCTAAACGTTTTATAATCAAACCAATCATTTTCTAGGTTTGTTGAAATGGCTTTTCTTTTTAATTTGTCCCTTGTATTAATAAGTTTCTTTATATCACTTGTAATCCATGGGACTTTTTTAGACCTGATTTTTTTGCATTGAAGTGGTGCATGCTTATCTAGGACGTCTACGAATATTTTTTTCCAAATCTCCCACATATCATTTGGGTCTTCAGCAAAAAAATACACTTGTTCCCAGTGCTGTTTGAGCAGTTCCGCAACAAATTTTTCTTCATTAAAATTTTTCATGTTTCTCATCTCAACTATATTCTCTTGTTTCTTTATAACAGAAATTTTCCTGATAGCAAATATCAAACTATGATCACTTATACCTGTGTGAATGACACCAGAATCAGAAATTTTTTCTGGTGTATTAGTAACCATATGATCAATTAGACTAGTAGTTGTCATAGTTACTCGAGTAGCTTCATCTATCAGTTGTGATAACTGATATAATTCATACAAAGACTTTATTTTCTTTGTTGGTATGTTATAATCTTTATCTGGTCTTAGCAAATCACAGTTTAGATCACCCAGAATATACATTTCCTTATTTTCATTATCTATAGCTATGATCAGTTTTTCAAAATGATCAAAGAATTCTGATAATGCACTGGGTGGTCGGTAAACTGTCGTAACAACAAAAGGTTTGCTATGTGGTTTAATAATTTCAACACAAACAGCTTCCAGTTCAGAAGGAACTAGATCATCTCTTATTTTGTAATTGATGGAGTTACGCAAGTAAATACAAACTCCACCACCATTCCTTGATCTATCTTTTCTGACAATATCATAACCATCAAGGTTAATCATATTATCTGTTATATTCGCATCAAGTCGTGTCTCATTAAATGCAATCAGATCAATGAACTTTTTTGACATTGAAAAATTAATTTCATGTGTATATTACCCGTACCCGTAAATCGGAACCGGGGTATCTTAACCTCTCTACTTGCTAAATTAGGTAATAGCCTGTGGAAGGGGAGATGGCTGTGAAACTCATTAGAATAACAATTATTCACCGAATGCAAACTAGTCTAGGACTAGTATTCACCGAGACGAAGTCGAGGTGAATATTTCCTGATAATCCCCGAGCCTGAGGCGAAAAAGTTACTGATAAAGAAATAAGCGAAATTAAAATAAATTCAGTTCCTAAAAACACAAAAGACTTGTGTAAAAATACTAAAACTATTATTACATTGTAATGTAATAATTTCAATTTTGTTAGCTATATTTCACCTGTAGGTGAATATAACAGCTTCAATAATTCATAAGCTTATTGGCAAATCATGTCAACCATAATATGTCATGTGCAGTGGCTTTTAAACCTGATAAAACACTCCTAATTAATATTCTTTATATAAAGAATACTAATTGCTGCCGTAGCGAGCGAGCGAGCGAGCGA